ATGCAAAAAGGATTAATAGTGTAATTTATGTCACTTAAGTAATGACAAGATGCAAGGTTCAATGCAAGCTTTCAAGATCTATAAATATTTTTTTATGAATAAAAATATTCAATTCAACATGGGAATATACTTTTTTTCAAGTTTGTCATTCATTATGATGGCAATAGAAGTTTTCAATCTAGATTTTGATAAATTATGCATATAAATACTGTCAATAAAGTCATTTGATTGTCTTGAAATTTTGAAAAAGATGGTTTTATTCTTGAGGATAACATTAAAAAATTGATTAATAGTAATGATCGGCGTAATAATCAATTTCATTAAGCGTCAACCAATCAAATTTAAGCCCACTATGCTTGATTCGCATTGATAGGATGGAAAAGGTCGCCGCTTTTATATATAATTCGAAGAAAAAAAATTTGTCGGTTAGAGTTGATTTGCATTATTAATAAAATTTAAAAATTTAAAAATGAAAAGTCATAATAAAAATAATAAAAAAATTCCTTATGATTCACGCCAAAAACGTTTTATTACATACCCTAACTTTCAAGAATTTGCAAGAGACATTACGATTCATATTACACCACGAGAAGTAGTTTATTTTTTGGAATATGTTCTTATTCTAATATTAGATATTAATCCTTGTTAGATTGAAGTAGATGATGAAACATTTTTAATTTATGATCATTTTAGTCAGTCAAGTACACAAAACTTTCTTTTAAATATTTTTAATAATCAATAAAGATAAATTTCATACGTCCTCGGCTATTTCTATTCGCAATATTAATAATTTTTAATTAAAATGTTCGGAAAATCGATTCGCATGATTATAAAAAACTAAGATTCGCATTGTCATTTAATTTGGCGGTCACATACAATAGAGTTTTCCCGGTCTTCTTTTTGCACAATCACACGACGTAAACCGGTTTTCGTAACGCGTGACACGATAAAAATAATTTTCAGAATCGCAGAAATTACAACTCGCGCTATTTTTTTTTAACAAATAATCTAGGGAGAAAGAAATCATCACCACACAATTTTAATTAATAACAATAAGTAGAAAGAACAAACATGTAAACAAATGTATCGTGGTTTTTTAACATTTTACATTTTTTCAAAAAAAAAGATTTGCTCACCAAAATGTTTCGTATTTCAATTTTGCTCTCATCCTTCCCCAAAAATTCAGTTTACCAAAAGTTCAGAGACGAGCCTTTACAATATGCAATTTGCATATTTTTTTTCCATAGTTATTATGTTTTATTCCAAAATCAGAATTTTTTTTCACGCCTTTATTAATAATTGTTAATAATAATTATTATATATATAACATTGTAATTAATATTTCTTCCAAAATGGTTTCATAGTTAAACAATGGGTTATTTTCACACAACAATTAAAGAAAAAAAATTAGTTATTACTTTATTATAATTATCATCATCATTATTGCTATTTATAAAATTTATCTGTATTTAAAAAAATAAATAAAATGTCAAGTATAAATCAAGTATAAGTATAGTTTAAGCGTAATTTAAGTATATAGTTCAAGTATGAAATAAATAGTAGAAAATCATGCTTATTTTCTACTTAAATTTGCAAGAAACGAGAATGCCCAAAACACCAAATAATTTCTACTTAAATTAAGTGTGTTTTAATGGTATGATAAGTATGTTTTAAGTGTGCAAACTTTGCATAGGGCTTATAGAAATATATAGGAATCTACTTATATTTAATAAAATATAATTATATTATCACGTGTATATTATATACAGTGTATTTTTACGCAAAGTGGGTATGCTAAGCCAAAAATTTCCTGCACAAGAAATTATGTATATGTGTTGTTTTAACTCAAACTTGCTTTTATTTCAACACTTTTTTATTGTCCAAGCCCAATTTGGTCGACTATAGGAATTTCTGGCCAACTGGTAATCGACTAAAGTTTTTTTGACCGATTCCAACATCTAAGAAAATAGAATAAATTTGCATTGATTTAACGATAAATATTTTTATTATCTTTTATTATGATGCCGAGTTATTATTAATTAATCAAAAAAGTTTAATATTAAAGTGGCCATTAAATCATCATTATTTAATAATAAATCAATGGATAAATTACTTTTTATAAGTCATATAATGTAATGGATAAGAGTCAAACACTTGGCCTTAGTAGTAAGAGGTTTAACCTTGACAAAGAAATAATGTTAGTGTTGTAATAAACTTTTAAATAACAAATCAATTAAAATCATTGAATAATAATAAATACAAATAAATATTATAAATTTATTTTATGATAAAGTTAGTTTAGTGTTAAATTTTTTGGCATTAATGTAGGTATTGAAAAATTCAATATACCATCTAATTCATTGGCAAGCAATACATTATTAATTAACGGCGCGTCTGGATCAAACCAAATCGCTAACTGTCAAAAATAAATTATGTACAAATCATCGAAAAACATTTCCGAATAAATCAACGAAAACAAATTGATGAAAAAAAGAGTTAGGTATTTATTGCAACTGGGATATTGATCTGTAAAGTCATTTTAAAATCAAACCAACGTTAGGAATTTTGAATTACAACTATTTACGGATTATTGTAATTATTCTTGTTATTATTAATTATTAATTATTGAACAAAGGAAATGCAAGTTACGTATATTTACTATTTCTAAATCAAATCGATTGACGTTTGAGAAAAAAATATATTGATTTAGATATTGTTGAAGAGCACATGAATTTGATGATATCTCTCATTAAACGGTTGTTTTCAGACAATTTTCTTGTAATAAAACTCCCAAAAGGAGCTTCCCGCATTTTATCTGCATATCAACAAAAGAATTTTTTAATGAATTTGCTATCTCAATATGATTGGTGCAAATTTGTGGCGCTCCATAATGGGCAAAAGTCCAATTATTAATATTAATTAGGTCGATATCCAAATATATATATATATTGCTTGTAACCAATTTTATAAATAATTATTATTAAATGAGTAATAGAAATTATTAAAACAGACCTTAACTAATTATTAAACATGTCATGGCTAATTAACTAATTTATTAATCGGATCTTAATAACACATTATCTCATTTCTTTTGTATAAAAAAAGAAAATGTCACCTTGCTATTTTATTTTAACATATGTCACAGAAAGTTTTTTTATAATAAAAACAAAATTGTTCCATTAAAGAATACCTTTCATATTGAAAGGCCCTCTCTATATAAATCCATGATTATTCAAAAATGGCATATTTTTTGCTTCAAAGCTAAGGTTATTTTTCAATGTTGCTTTA